ACTTTCTCACAAGCTTCCGGTCTCTCTCTTCCCTCCTCTCCCCCTCTTCCCCTGGAGTCTCTCTGTTTCTCTCCTCACAAAGGGATCCAAAGGGATTTCAAAACCGTCAAACCTTCATTACCAACTGTGAATTCTAACGATTCCAATACAAATGCAGCTGGTACTTGTGCAATACCAATACCAATTTAAATTACGATCTTTCCCTCCCTCTCTCTTTTACAAAAAAGACTCGTAACTATCCTTACGACTCCTCACCATTTACCAATACTACACCGTCGCCGTTTGGTACCATCACCGCCAACAGATTGTACACATAAATTTAAATTAACGAAATGGGATCCAGCCACGGGGCCTTGCTCGGTAGCCGGCAATAGCTATCAACATAATTAACCCTTGAGCGTTTTGTATCGTGATTAGAGGATGCCCAATGCTATGGGATTTGATAGTATCCTCACCCCAACATGATATCACACCATCTGTTCAGACTTCTGCCAAATAATTGTTATAATTTCCTCTATATCGTGTATTTTACCAATTTTAGTAATTTCAGAACTATGTTAACACCAGTTTGCACTTCAAATTTTACATAGACGGAGTAAACTGCGTTAATGTAGATACGTGGTCATTTTTTATTTCCTTTTACGAAGTTTTAACTCAGTTACTCTCACACTAACTTTTCACTGTTCTCTTCTATTGAAATAGAGGGAAAATACCATGGCAAAGTATATAATATACGCGAGCATCAATTCACTAGATACTGGCTGGACCATATCAGATGAAAGCTTGATGGACGTGAGGTGATTGATGCACTGTTCACACACTGTATGTCCATTCCATTTAAATAATAAATGATTATTAGGCCGGAATAGGAAGCCATTAGAGCGCCTTATATCAGAAGAGACCGCGCAGCTGTGAATCAGAGACACCATGCTCGATGCGGACACTTTAGATTTTTATCAAAATCACGTAAAGGAACCTCGAGGGGATCCACTACATAAATATACCTAACGGTAGGTTTCGTGTACGTGGCAAGTGTGAGAGTATAGAAAATCTCATGAGCTTCACCAACAAGAAGATCTATACGTCATGATGTTTGGACTCTTTTACTATCTGACTCTCTAGTAGTTTTTAAAGTCACGTTACGTCGTCCTATGATCAATGATTGCTCTTTGAAAGATATTCGAGTGGACGTTTTTAAATTGTGAGCAGATTCTTGGAACTCGTCACCTCGCACCGATAGAATGGATTAAGAAATGGAGCACTTTGAATGGATGATAGATATCGAGGGAATTTGAAACCCTATACTTGGGGGGTACTTTTAATTGGAGTGATGTCAGACGTATCTTTGATATAGGATCATTTACCAAGTAATTGAACCGTATTCAATTGATGGGCCCATAACCGTACGTTCACTGACAATTTATGAGTAATTACAACTTAGTTCTGGATATGAATTTTAAAAGTGAGGCTAGATTCAAATAATAAGCAGGGACAAATGCATCCTGAGTAAAATAATCATTCCTGGTTTGAATCTCTTTTTCTTGTTCTCGGCAGTACAAGAACACGATTTATAAGTTTAATTTTAACCCAGATTATGCAAAAAATAAGCCTACGACGGGCCAAAATCATAAGATCATACTTATTAGGATTAAAGTAGTATCTATTGATGAGACGGCCAGACCAAGATCAGCACGAGCTCGAGTCAAAATAATAAGTACTATTTCCGTCCTTGTGGGTCTGATTTCGTTCTACTCATACTGCTCTAGATCCACTCATGAGTTTGATCTCGTTCTTTTGTCCCGGATGTAAACTTGTTATTTCTGCGTATTCAGGACTGAAATAAAACTTATAAATTCTACTCTCTTACTATCGAGAAGAACGCGAAGTAATCGAAACAGGATCTTTTTTTGACTCGGGGTATATGTATATTTGAGTTATTTAAATTATTCATCAACATCTGCTAATTATTTAGTCTTATTCACATCAGAAATTTTGAGTGTACAATGGACATTGTTGTGTTTTACGTATTTTTTCTTACCAAGTATTTAAGGATTGACAGAAAGAATTCCAAACGAAATATTATTGTACTCCTAATTAATGATAATGCTTTTCGCAATTTCGTGTTTTTAGGCATGAACTCATGGAACATGTGAAAGAGAATGTTATGCATTCGCCATCCAGAAAAAGGGGTGTACGTGAACGCTAAATTTTGTTACAAAAATCCCAAACAAATGACTATCAATTGGGCTAAAAATAGTGAATATCAAGTTCCGAACGTAAATTAAATAGCAACTTTTGCAAGTGTCCAGCCCTTTCTGATTCAAAACGCCGCATATCGCAAATAGCTTACAAATTAATAACAAAAGGCTATATATGAAATTCTTGATGACACACCGAACCGATCGATTTATAATTTACATGAGAAATTAGGTTCCGGTTGTAGATAACACAGGACATTGGGAGCACTTTCGGTTTCAAAACGGCCTATACATAAATATACAAAAGCCTAATGTCTGAGTATATACAAATGCCTGGGTGAATTGCTTAACCAATCTGATTGAAAATAGAAAACATCATGAGCATATAGACGGGACAAATATTTACAAATGTCGAATGCTTTCAATTTCCCATCAGCGAAATTAATGTATGTCTGCAACGGTAAATATATAATATATAACCACATGGTTCAAACAGTCGTACCTCAAGGCAAACCTGTTTGCCCTGATCTTTTAACACTAAACGTACCGACAGTTTATATAGATGTTCATACCAAATGACCGGTCATGTGGTAGATAAGGATATAATATAAATGAGGGAAAATGAAAGGAGAAATTAAGTTGAATATTGAAAAATTAATTATTTGTGTTTTATAGAAAAATTCATGAAGTCCAGGAGAAAAAGCTACAACATTATATGGAGAATTTTTTAAAAATAATATCAAACTGGTCATTTGACCAGTCTTAGTACGGTTAGTGTTAATTTTATCACGGACCACGCCTAAAGCAGCCTGCAGTATCCGTTATTTTATATACAGGCATATTACATTTTTATTGCACCGACCCCTGTATTGTAGTCAATTTCCTTCTCCGGTACTCTGTCGCCCTTACGTTCTTATTTCTCATCCATACTAGGACGAAAATGAGATAGTATAAAATCTAATATTGGGAGTTTGATTAAAAGAGATTCAAACAATGCCCAATAATAAGGGGATAAGAGTAGCGCGAATTCTTTTAAAAAAGTATAAAAGAGAATCTTTTTCCTCTCAGGAATACCTTAATTTAGTAAAATTCATGGCTTCCGGATGGTTGTCGCGTCTAGTTTCACCTTATTGCCGATATTTCGCAAACGTTCCAGTCTAGGTCATCAGGGCTAAAGGCCATTCTACAATGCAATATAATAAGGAATAAGCAATAAGATCTTCAATAGATATTTACCTAATTCCATTGGGTCCTCCAATCAAGAAGGAGAAAATCGTTTTTAAAACCGAGCGTGTACTAAGTCTCTACGATTTTTGTGACGTCTTGGACATAGCAATGATACAGAAGCGGTTGCTAGGGTCTTTAAGAACTTCACGGAGCACGAAACGTGATGAGTAACATCGAGCATGCCCCGTTCCGTAATTTATAACGGCTTACGTTAAAAATACATAGCAACGATACGGAGCGGTTGCTAGGGTCGCTAGGGATTTCACGGAGCACGAAACGTCATTGTCAAATGTCATTACCTGTCACCTGTCATGATCTGTCAATATATAAATATTAAAAAAAATGTGTATGCGTTTATTCATACAGATAAGTAAATCATTACTTCATTTTTAAAGTCAAGATGACTTTTATCGTAAAGAAATTTCATTTCTCTAACGATATTGATAATGACCTCGTCTATAGAGTTGGTAATGATAGGTGACAGATAATGACATTTGACAATGTCGTTTCGTGCTCCGTGAAATCCTTAGCGACCCTAGCAACCGCTTCCGTATCGTTGCTATGTCCAAGACGTCGCCAAAATCGTAGAGACTTACTAAACGCTCGGTTTTAAAAACGATTTTCTCCTTCTCGATTGGAGGATCCAATGGAATTAGGTAAATATCAATTGAAGATCTTAATGCTTATTTCTTATTGTTTATTTCTTATTATATTGCATTGTAGAATGACCTTAAGGAAGCTCTGATACTGATGCTCCCCATTTTTCGGGGTGTTCTTAAATACTGATGTTTGTTCTTCCGGAATACTGGCACAACTGATCTAACATTTTAATTGATCAGCTATTCGCACGATGAGCTTTGAGAGTTGTTTGATAATATTCATTTTAATGCTTCTGTGATATGAAAATATTTGTTTCCTTGTTCCTTCACAATATTTACCGGCAATGTCGTCGAACCCCTCACATCTTCAGTAAGAGTAGCAGCAGCAGTACGGACTCCAGCAATTTATGTAGCTAGGTATTTGAACGCATAAAAATTGTTTTATGCCCACCGACCATAAAAGGCTCCAGTATTTCACATTGAGGAATATTTCTCGCATGGGAATATATAATGATGCATAGGGCGATTGTAATTCAAATATTCGAAATGTACGCTAGCCGTAAATCATCCCCTTTTGGCCGTGGAAGTCCTCGTGGGCGTTTGCCCCGTGGCAGCTATGACTCTTTGGGTCTCGAACCTCAAACCTTAAACCTCAACCCTCAAACTCATACCTTACCACGGACTATGCTTTAAGTACTCTATACCATCGTCCCATAACCGTCTTTCATCAATATCACCATACGCTATGGTGAACTTTGGCCATCTTCTCGTGAAATCATTTTTCTGACGTGTTGTATCCAAGTTAAACATTATGCCTGCGTATACAGAGAATTCACGAGTGATTTTGAACTTTGACCTCGTATCGTGAAATTTTTAACAGTATTTTTAGAGATAACTTGAGATCATCCCATTTTTTTATTTATTCCTTCTCGTGGTGAAACTATTTTCCGAAATGGTTTTATGTTTTTGTTTACAGTACGCAATGGATACTCATGTGTTCCCGTAGCACTATCTGAAGGTCTTGATATTCGTTTAAATACGGCTGCCAGGGCGATAAGATATGGTGCTAATGGCGTTGAAGTTTGGGCAGCGCCCTCGAGAAGTCCACATACAGCTCATACTGTCTACAAAGCTGATGCTGTACTTGTAACTCTTCCTTTGGGAGTGTTAAAGGCATCCGCACCACCATCGGCGGTTGCGTTCAATCCGCCACTTCCTGATTGGAAGGCCCAGGCTATTCAGAGACTCGGTTTTGGAAACTTGAATAAGGTCAGTTTATACACTTTTATATTTTTTTATGGGAAAAATAATTAACTATACATGGAATAAGTTTTTCCATTGAATTCTATGAAAATCTATTCGAAATGAAGAGGGTACTAATATTTTAGTTCAATTATATTTTCAGGTTGTGCTTTGCTTCGAACGTATATTTTGGGATCCAACTGCGAATTTGTTCGGTCATGTTGGCAGTACCACTGCTTCCCGCGGAGAACTCTTCTTGTTTTGGAATTTATACAAAGCACCGGTACTTTTGGCTCTGGTAGCAGGAGAAGCTGCCTGTGTTATGGAAAATGTCAGCGATGATGTCATAGTAGGAAGGTGCATTGCAGTTCTAAAGGTAAGCATCTATAAGATTACAATGTGTGTTTGTCGCCATATAACAGGAATTATATTTTATGTGCATATCAATTCAGCGTAGGAAAATAGCATTTTGTTACTTATTCGGTGTAGTTGGTACTTGTTCAAAGTAGGAATTATTTTTATTATTATCTTTCCTTTTATCTTATTTGTAATAAATTATTTAATTTATCATGTTTTTTTATTAAACGAGAGAGTGAATATAATGAAAAAACATTCATTAAATAATTATAATATTTTTAGGGCATTTTCGGAAATCAAGTAGTACCACAGCCACGGGAGAGTGTTGTAAGCAGATGGCGAGCTGATCCCTGGGCCCGAGGTTCTTACAGTTTCGTAGCGGTTGGCAGTTCCGGAAGTGATTACGACCTTTTAGCGGCTCCGGTAACACCACCACCTCCACCAAATCAACCCCCAGGTGCACCACCACCGCAACCCCGACTATTCTTTGCAGGTATTAATATTAGTATATTAATAATTTCTATTTGCAATTTACTCTATTCTTTATAAACATATACATTTGGTAATATCAGTTGCTCTCTGTTTCTTATTGGTGCAATTTTTTTACTGTATTAATTAAATAATTGATACTTAAATTTACCACATCACCTACGTACTTTATGAACCAAGAACTACGTTATAGCATAGATAAAGTTCCTGGTGGAACATGCTAGACATAAATAAATCGATAATCGTTATTGTTAATGGAAAGATAAATGGGATAGATGGATATTTTTCGATTTATTCGGATACAATGAACACAAGATTCAAATTTTATTTCTGTACTTATACATATGTAGTGGAAAGTGGAACAAGACTGGTCCGTTAGAGTAAGATGCCTAGAAATTTGGTTGAATAAATCATGGTATATATTTTTTATATTTCTGACGGCATTGTTTCATTTAGAGGCATTCCCTTATTTAGCATGCTTAAGGCGTTAAGTCGATTTCTTAAATGGTATAGTTTTTCATATGGCGTTCGTAATACAATTCAGGAACTGTTATTTCGGTAATGTTGAAATTTATTTCGGACAATTATAATAAAAGCACATCTTTTCTGAAGTATAAAGTGTGCAAACATATAAGGCTGCTATGTAATGATTCAAATTAAAATTCAAAAAGAAAACTAACTATCTAGACCGTAACAATGTGCAGCTATGTTATATGTATATTTGAACATATTTACCATTTACCATATGTGTTGTGCTTATTGTCATTACAGCTGCACATTCTAGATGTTTATTGAACTAGATCTTTACTGCATACAGCAAGCATAATTGAAACGCATTTTAACTTATTCACATACATGGCCTCTCTCAACTCTGTAAATTCTCTTCCAGATCGCATTTCCTTGCTCGAGGCTCTTGTTTTCAAAATTTGCATACGAAACTTTTTTCTGCAAGAGAAGGTACATAGGGTACTTTCACCAAAATTAAGATCTAAGCTATAATTAGATTACAAATAGTAGTAATTTTCTTTAATTCTATTATTTATTTTAATTAATACATTACTTAAAAACGTATTCTATACACCCCTTGAATTAACCTCAGGAGATAAAGGTCATCGAGTATAAATGAATGATTCAGTCAATTCATCTTCTTATTTCTAGCTTTGAGTCTAGCAATGTAATAATAAGTCGGAGCTCGCAGGTTCAAATATATTGCGCGCCGATTGTTTTAATGGGCACCAATCTAAAGTAAATTTCAGTTTTAGTAAATTGGACCATGTTATTCGCAGAGACGTTGCTTTGGACTTGTATTAGGGATTTGCGATTTCCTGCGTTCTCACGCTAAGACATTGTTTCTATACACCTCAATTAGGACTTAATTCCAACATAAATTCAGTTATCTTAAACGTTATAGGTTTTTCTCTTTTGCAGTAATAAAATATACCTTTTGAGCATCCTTGTCTTTACACCCTTCTGTTTTCAAAAATGATTTCTATATGAATTGTCATGGATCGAATAAAATTTCTCTTTCGCTCTTACAAAGACACTAGATGTGTATCAGCTATTGCCCAGAGATATAAAATGAACGATAGAATAGCAGCACACGGAGAAAAGAAAAGATTGAGAAGTTCAAAGAATCGTCTTTATTCTTGTCACATTATTTCCGTCTGTTAAACAGCCGACAGCCGATCTCGTTATGCTCTCTCTTTTGCAGTTTGAATGTCTTGTGTCTAAGTTTCTAGGAGGGAGACTACTGTCTGAATGGGTGAGATCGGCAGGTATAGTGGGATAGGGGATGGAAGGGTAGCAGTGATGCTTTGACTGGTCTGACTGCTCTGATAATGGATAGTGATGA